ACAAGATTGAAAAAGGAGATAAACTAATGCTCATGGCCATAGTGCAATGTAGTTTTGTGCTCTTGTACACTGTTGCAAAGAGGCATTCGGATGCAGGAATAGAATTAAGTAATGGAGAATCCTAGATTAGAAAGGACCTAGGGCCAAAGGATAGTACATACTTGTGAGCTTCCAAGAATATCAGTTAATAGACTACTCTGATTCCTAGATGAGAAATAAGAAGTTAAGCAGAGGAGTGAGTTACTATATAGACCCTGACTTCTAAGAAGACAATCAAGCCAGTATACAAAATAAAATTTTAACACTAAAATTAAGACACAACAAAAGTAATTATTTGGGGGAATATATATGCAAGGGTACCTCAAGATTCCAAACCAGAGCAAAAGGTCAAGTGAGAAGACCAACTCTGGCCATAGTCTTAGCCTAAAGGGAGGGAGCATTTCCAAATTAAAAACCAGTAGGTCTGAAATATTTTCTGAAATAGGTCTGAAGTAATTTCTCTCACAGCTCCTAAAACCAGCAACTACAAATCCATCAGCTCTACAAATCCATCAGTTGCTCCATGGGAAAATGATGGGCAATCTCCTCCCGTGCAATTTACTGCCTCTGAAAACCCACTGAAGGATCAGTGATGGGTCAACTGGACTCAGGAGTACCCAACAATAACAAGTGGAAGCCTAAAGCATATTCTAATGTGGTCTACACATGAGAGTTAAGAGATTAATGAACTCAGTCTATCACAATCCTGAAGGCACTTTAAGACAGTAAAATTATTTGGAGACACAATTTCAAAATTACACTGGTGCCCCACCCCCTGTATTACTCCTCCACCAGATCTATTATTTTACAGATTTTATCCACTTAAATATTATTTTGTCTTAAAGGCCTTGATGAATATGAACACTACCAGATCAAATGCTGTATTTTTTTTTTCTTCATAAATTACATTTTACAGGCATCCACAACTAGATCTATCAAAAGAGGCCCAACAACGTTGATCTTACTCAGTCATTGAAAATGTTAGTAGCTTTAGACAGCAGTAATGGTTTATACGTTTTTCAATCAAGATTGCTCCATGTTTTAAGCACCAACACAAAATATCCATTTATCAGTGACTCTGAAATAAGACGCTGGATATCAATTCATAAAATATTAAAATTGGGGAAAAGTCACAGGAAGTTATCCTCTTTAGATGCTATATGAGGGTCTGTGGTTTCAGTACTGAATCTGGCTTCAGCCCAAAAACACACCAAGGTAATAGGATTAAGTCCACAAGTCAACTTTCTTAACACTGAAATGTGATTCAGCCTCCTTCCCTGACAGTGTTAAGGTAGTTTTGGTGCTACATTAGGGTATATACCTACATGACTGCCTGAACCTCTGGAAGATAAACGAGTAGGAATTAGAAATGATATTCCTTAAAAGAATTACACTGTGGTTGAATACATACATGTAATTAGGAGTACACACTGAATACTGTTCCTTGACCTAGCTTCTCTTTTGATTTGGTGTTGCAGAAGAAACATTTGTTGACAATGAACCCAGTAACATGCAATGTCTATCTTCTTCCCTTTGTATTCTTTTTTTTTTAAAAAAAAAAAAAACAACTCATTCTTGAGATACATTGGGTTTATCTGTGTGGTTGTGCCTCGCAATTCAAGTGTGAGGCCACAGGCTACATGGCCTCTAATTGATCCTAAAGAGTGATCAAGTCTCACCCTGGACAAATGATTATAGCCACAAGTAAATCTAACTCCAATTGTAGAATCACTCAATATCAAACCTCATCCAAATTTCAACTGTCAGCCTCTATCTACTTTTATTCTTTCTGCCTATACTTTACAAGACAAGATTCCTGCTCACTTTCTTCCTATGAGGATGAACTATTTTTATTATATTTAATAAGCCTTAGGGTTTTTTAATTAATATCGGATAATTTTAAAAGAACCTGTCTTTTCTATAAGTATCACTAGTCAAATGTGTCCATTCCCCCCCTTTCCTAATGGCTGCTTTCTCTGTCCATAAAACTTATTTGATTAGTACTATAGAAGCTAAAGCTTTTGTATGCAGGCACTCAAGCATAATTTAATCATTTTATTTAAGCACGAAAAAAAATTATTCTGAAAGCCCTGTTAGGTAAAATATCCCTGATTAGTTTAAACTTACATTTGCAGGTATTTTAAAGGTGAAATAAATCACAGAATACTCAGTAGGCAATGGAATAGTGTTAACTCAGTCACAATAGTCGACTATTAAGTTAAAAATTGTAGCACTACGAAAATGTAAGGAATAACTATCTCATTTGAAATAAACGTATTGAAGCAGGCTATCGCAGAATGGATTTTGTTTTGTGCAAACCCTTTTTGTATTACCAGGATTTTCACCTATGGAAACCTCTTTGATAGTGCAACAAGATCAGGTCCTAATTGCATAATGCCATTTATCTGCTGAGGATAAAAGTGCCAACAAATGAAAATGCACATTAAGCAAGAGGTTTTCAGAATAGAAAATTGGATTTTTTTTAATTTATTTTTTTTATTTTGAGGGGTTTTTTTTGTTTTGTTTTTAAATAACCCACTCACATTAACAAAAGATTGCAGTAGCTTCCAAATTATAGGGTGTTATTTTTAGTGGAAGTAGTTCAATATTCATATTGGAGCAGATGTAGCAGTTTAACAAAACAGCTCTTCAAATCCTGCACAAATTGAAAACAGGAAAACTGATTGCATTTTCTCTTATCACTTTCCTTTTCTGAATTGACACTCTTGGCCTTCTGAAAATTTACACATGGCTTTCATCTCAACAACACCTGCTGATCAAATAGAAACCTAACATTTTCATGAAAATGGTATAAAAGACTAGTTTTGTTCTAAACCTGCAAAGGCCATCAGTTGCCTACTTGATGGCAACAATTGCTATGTACAAGGCACATTCAAAATAGCTTTATGTTTTTGTAAAAGTTAAAAAATACGTTAAGTCACTTCTGACATTTTCCCATATCCACTTCATGTACAGCTCACACCACTTTGACTTTGTATCTAGTACTTCATTTTATTCTGCAAAGGCTATACAAAATACAAAAGAGGGAAAGGAGAGGGTTACATTATACTCAGATTACAAATAACAAGTATTTTCCCTGCTTCTGCTTAGAATTTCCTGTGTATGCACATAAGCACAGCATGTATATACATGTGCACATCCATTTTTTGGTCTGTAAATCCAGGCCCTATTTTTGAAGCAATTTTACACTGCCTTTCTCCCCCCCCCCCCATTCTAGCTACTGACTTAGCAGGTGCTTGGATGTGTGAGTACCCTAGACTGGGGAAGAACAGATGTCACTCACGCAAAAGCCAGTAAACATCTCAATGATATGACCCATCACACATTGTAAATGCTTCTGGGAAGCTAGAGGTAAATCCTGAAAATGGGTATTCTCGTATGCAAAATCTTTAAGATTAATAGCTAGGCAGCTTCTCAAATAAATAAATCTGATTCCTCTGTACCAGCCAGTCCTCGGTACAGTTAAGTAAGCTCCCAAGACGTGCTATCAGTCAGCTGCCTAGCCACCAGGGCCTTACCCCTTCTAAGGGATTCCAGGCTGTCCCTTCCCATTCTGTCTGGGTGATAAGGTAACCTGAAGGCAGAAATGACATACAGTAATATATGTGCCATTCTGCCCAGTTGGCCTGTGAATTTCAGTGTTTCATCATGCTCACTGAGGCAGCAGCAAACCTGAGATGTCAATATGTTCAGTCAATGGGAGAAAAATAATGGGACTCTATTGTCTTACCCAATCGATCTGCCGCTGTCAACAAGGAAACATGCCCCCATGACTTTAAACAAATTTTAATTAGGCTTTTAGTTACTGGATCCTAGCTGTCTATCTATGAAAACACTTGGCTTGGCAATGTGTAGGAAGCAAACACATGCATTTTTTCTGTTTTCATAATTAAAACCTTATACTTCAAAATACGTTTATGAGTCAAGGAAGCATTAAAAAACAAACAAACAAACAAACCCAAACAACAACCTTCATGCACAAAAATGTCATGGTTCAAACCCAAAATTCAGATCTATCTGATAGACTAATTACTTTTTTCCCCCAGAGTTGACACTGCCCTCTAAAATCAATTCATTCTATTTTAAAAGTAGGATTCATACATTGCTCTCCGTGTGTGTGTGTGTGTGTGTGTGTGTGTGTGTGTGCAAAAATTCAAGCACTATTAGCATCAACTCATTACCCATTCAAAAGAAATTACACTCAACACACCAAAAAATCCAAGCATCAACTCCCAAAGCCTTTGCCTCTGGGGCTCTGGTTCTCAACACGACACAGTAAGGAAGCAAAAGAAACTTGTTAAAATAAGGTAGGTGCCTGGAGCTGGGAAGGGAAGGGTGTAGGGACAAAAAAAGAAATAGGACATTAAGCCATTCAAATTGCACCTAAGTTTTATGGCCCATCCATCCACCAGAAGGCAGAATGCCTCATCTTCAAATAAAAACAAAAATGAACTAATCAAGTTGTTAAGCAGCCTCTTCTCTCCCTTCTTCATCTAAAGGCTTGAGCGGTCCAGTCAATAAATAATCTATTGTTCCCCTTTATCGAGTCACTTTAAACCTATTCAGAGTGGCAAAACTAAACCCAATTAAAGATAAGGCCCTCCGGTAATCTCACCTCGGTGAGTCCTGTCTGGATAGCAGAGGTGATGGGAGATAGCGTCAAGGCCAGGGCTGATGCCTCTTCCTCACCCCGCACAACAAAAGGCAGATTTCTCTTTCTCCCTCTGCTAATCTTTAAATGTAAATTCTCTCCGCCAGCTAAGAGGAGCGACAGATAACATGTTACATCTTCACTTCTCTTGGTCTTATCGACTTCTGAATCATCTGGAAAGGGAGAGAGGGAAAGAGAAAAGCAGCCTCCCCGGGCTCCCCCTCCTCCTTCCACTCCTCCTTCCTCCCTGCCGGCTGCCCGCCTCCCCTCCCCTGTTCACGGAGATTACCTTCTGGCAAAGGAGCGCAGGAGAGGCAGCCGCAGCCGAGGCGGCACCCAGACCACGGCTTTGTATTCATTAAACACACATCGGAGCTTATCAGAAGTAAAAGGCTTGTCAGGATGGCACATTGTGTGAGAGTGAGTGTGTGAGCGCAGGAGGGAGAGGAGAGGAGCCAACGTGCATCAGGGTGATTACAATATCAGCAGGGCCCAGATGGAGGCAGGAAAATAAACAGAGGGTGTGTGTGAGACAGAGCGGGAGAGAGAGGAAAAGTGGGAGAGCGGGAGAGAGAGAAGAGACACAGGCAGGAGGCAAGAAATGGGAAGGGATGGCGAGGGTGGGAACTCAGACCTCAAGGCAGAGGTGCAAGGGGTGGGGGGGTGACTGCCCCAGAGGTGGTGGAAGGTGAGAGCCAGGGCTAGGGACCACTTGCATCCCTAAATCTGCCCCTAAAGGGGAAATAAAAGAGGGGATGCAGACAAGAAGACAGTATTTTCCCACACCTGGGTTAGAGAGGGAACATTCTGGAGGTTCTCTCAAGATAAAAGGATTAAGAGCCCCCTTCGGGCCCAGCATAACAATGAAACTTCCACCACCTCACCTTTATCCAAACAGCCACAATCTGCATAACAAACCTAGTGAGTCCAGACCGACCTCTAGCCGGAGTTCCAGTCCCTTTCTCTGCAGATGCCAGTACACCAACACCCCCAGTCCCCTAAGCACAAGGAACCCCACCAAGCAGATAACAAGTACTCCCTTTCCCTGGGCTTTGGCATGTCCCAGCAGAAGACTGGTGCAGCCAGCAGCATGGTGAAAAGGAGGACCACTTGTGATTGGTAGCTACAGGTGACTCCCAGACACCTGCTCCCCCTCCCGAAATAAGGTGGGGGACAGCGCTCCTTATGGATACATCTGAGAGTCTATTTTGGAGGTGGGAGTTTGAAATTGAGGCAATCAATCTAAGCTGGAGCTGCCTCACAGCCCTTCACCCATCCAGAGCCTGAGAATCAATCAGGGAACAAACAGGGACCAATGCTCATCTGTCCATCACACCGGAGTCCACCATCCCCAACAGGGGGCTGGAGGGAGATACACCTGAGTAGCCCCTTGAGGTCCCCTTTTCACTTTTAAATGCACCATCAGACAATCTGAGCATCTGATCAGATCCTTAATGGAGTGCATATAATACAGCAGAAGGAGAATATTTTTAAAGGGGAGGGGGATGTTATTTGGTTGCATTGTGTTTTAAGGCTCTAAAGCCTGGTTAAGGAGCTCTCGCTGCAGGATGAATAGGGAGTTGAGAATGGAATCGCCAATAAACTACCTAATTTTTCATGGTGCAAACTACAGTCCCAGCTGCTGTGAAACTTGGGGTTATAAAATAGTTTATGCATGGGGTGTTATTATAAAGGGACAAAATGGTGACGGGGAGGGGGCAATTCTAGTCAGTAGAGAAAAAGAGAAAGGCAAGAGAATCAGCAGTTGCCTTTTTGAGGAGACAATTTTTAAGAAACCCTTTAGATAATTAGGAGAGGCTTTGTGAATAAAACCCTCCCCTTCAAATCACTTAGCCCCCCCAAAAAGAGTTTTATGTGCAGTAGACACCCCTCCCAATGTCATGCCCCTACTGAAAGAAAAGAATTAAGGGAAATCTGATAGGTAATGTCAAATGAAAAAAAGCTGGGCACGGTGGGGGAAGGGCAGGTGTGAAAATCCTGTCATGCAATGAATGTCACATAAAAGGGGGTCCTCCAGTGAGCCAGTAACGTGACAAACCTCTTGGTATCACTGAGATGAGAATAAGGTGCTATTTCTCCATAAATCTTAAAAAATGGCCTGGCTCAATAGTTAAGAGAAAGGTCCAAGAGGAGGAAGTAAGCCCCTTTTACAAAACTGAGGTCTAAATGAGGAGAAAATCTATCATTTTCACGTGTTTTTAAATGTATGTTTACATGTTTTTAACTGATTTATCATTTTAGTGCATATAAAAGCCCACCTCTCCCCTTTTCTTCTGCTATTGGAGAAAGCTCAGTTATCAGGAGCAACTACCATCATCACAAGTTACATTTCATTTAAATCAGCTTGGACACAGACTTTACACAAGCATCTCTAAATCCAAAATAGCTCTAGGAAGAAATAATACAATTTTCAAATTCCCACTGATTTCCCCTCCCCCATACATACCCTTCTGAGAAATGTTACAAAAACAATGCATTAGCACTGCTTTCAAGCCCAAAAACACACTTTCATTTTTCTTTAGATGGCATTCCAAACACTGAAGGCATGAAGAAAATTGTATAAAAGCTAATCTACCAATGTTCTTAGTTCCTAAAGGCACAGTATTTCTATTACTACCTTGTTTCTTCATTGACTTTTGGCTCACAGTTCTAGAAAAGATCAACCAATTCTCAAATGAGAAGAATCCATGACACTCTTCCAAAGCAAATACTTTGCAGCAAAGCTTTCAATTCAAATTAAAAAAAAATTTAAATAATAAAATGAAGCAAGACAACAATCAAGAAGTATAATCACAGAGTAAATGTACAACAGAGAGTGGCTTCTCTAATCACAGCTGTCTCAAAGTCCAGGCTGGAGACTAGAAATCTTCATTTCAACTAGCCCTTTTCTTAATAATAGGTTACCTTCCTATAAAAAGCAAGGAGTCCATCTGCCCCAGGCAGATAAGTTTTGAAGCATTAATTCAGATAAAAATCTAGCATTTTCTTTCTTTGAGTATGTGAATTGTAGTGTGCTATAATGTGAGAATTCCAACATATGACCATTATGGCATAATATCTCATTGCTCAGCTTGTCATTATTTCATTTGTAATTCTTATGTTAATTATGTTCATAATTACTATAAACAGATGTGGTAGACATTCATGTGACCTTTTATTGCAGAATGCATTCCTCACTCATTCCCTTTTAATTTCTCATGCATGTGAAACTGAAATGCAAGAGGGGGGAAAAGGAAAGCCTTTTTTCATTTTCTAATGTTTTATATGCACAAGTTAAAATGGAATCTACCCTCCTGTGCTCATCTGCATTTCAGAATATTAAAATATTATTAACGTTTAAGCTGCTTTCAAGCACATTTTAAAATTGCACACTGCATCTCACTGCTGCTCACTAAAGTGGAGCTGGGGATGCCAGACAAAGGCTAGCATCCGTGTCCAAGTTGTTTGCCTTGTCTTCTTTTTATACATCAAAGGTTAACACAGCAGAATTCTGCCTCAAAACGAAGTCCCTAACAGCTACACAGCGATTTGTTCATTCATAACTCAACCATCACCCCCTTTACATAAAACACATTTACAATAAAATCAGTATGGATTTCATTAGCTGGAAACCTCCTCGAATTTCATTTCTTTGGCCCTAATCTATAATTAGTGTGGACAGACAGGTGCAAACCCTTCTCTTCTACAGATGGCTACTGGAAATGGTGCAAAGCAGCTCCTTCTGTTTAAACAACACAAGAGATAACCTGCACTGTCTTATCACTTACAATTACCTCCATTAAACTGAACTAATGTTTGTTTTAATAAAATGTTCACTATTCTTCAAACACTATTTAGGAACTCTTATATTAATGGCTGCAAAAAAAAAGTGAAGCTAGGTGTTTCTTTAGATAATAATAAATAAGTTACTCTGGATAAAATTTTCCTCTGATAGACAATATTCTTAGGTCCACAAAAGTGTTATAGTTGCTAACCCATTGTTAACTGTTTTGCATATAAGGTTTGATATGACATTTTAAAGGCATTTAGGTAAAAAAACAAAATTTCATTAAAAAACCAGGGGATGAACCTTTTTCCCAAAGTTTAGAAATTTTTTTTCACTGCTTTATAAAATCAGTCACTGAAGCATATTACTTGTTTTAAAGTCCTAGTTTTTTAAGAACTGGTTTAACTTCTAGTAGAGTATTCTGAGAGGTGGCTGAGTTCAAGACGCCAGAAATAGCATAATTTTAAGGCGTATTTTAAAAAAATTAAATATATATATATATAGTTTGCAGGCACAGTTAAAAATAACTCCATTCCTCAACAGCAAACTTCTCTAAACCCAAGAGCTCACTTCTCCCTCCTTTGCTATTAACAATGTCTGTGGATCACTATGTGATAACTGTCCATATAACAAAGAACTTTTAAATGCTCAAGCAACAATAAATAGCCTTTCTCACTGAACTTCCATAACTTACAGTAATAGACTCCAGCAAGATGCAACTGACTTTTTTTTTCACATGCAAATCCTGCAGGTGCCAATTTTTCAGACTGCTTTGCTATGAAGGGCTATGTTGCCTGCATAAAACCTCAATGAGGAAGGCTTTGCATTCAGTGCCTGTCAGCTGATGTTCATATCAAAGAAGTGAGAAACGCGATTTGACAGTGAAGAATGTCCTAAACTGACAACCACTGACCAGCATTCCTATTGGAAGCATTTTTTTTTTTCTACTCATGATCCCTTTTCAATGTTTAAGGGGGGGAAAGGGAGTTTTGGGAGCTAAGCTTCTTTCTACAATAAATTATAATGGCAACTTACATTTGTGTAGTGCTTTGCAATATATAAAGTGTTCTTTTATCTGTAAAAGACTAGCACCCTCCATTGGAGAGCTCATCATCAAATACTAGCATCAAAATCAGTATTTTACTTCTCACAGAAATAGAAAAATATATTTTAAAAGCGGCAGTCCTGTATTGAAAATACATACTGTCCCACTATGCCCAGCAATTTGCAACTTAAGAGACTGCACTGTATTGTAAGTGAAATGCTTTTCTTATTAGGAAGGGCCACAGTAGGAAATTTTTTAAATCAAATTATTAACAGACATTAGTGAGTCATAGAGACTAAGTTTACAAAGAAAAATACCATTTTGAAGACTGCTGGTCTGCTTTGGATTGTCCCAATAAAAAAGAAAAAAAAAATTAAGACCATTTTCTCTACTGCTATGGTTAGGGATGAATTGGACAGTGGAGAAACTTCCTAGTGAAATGCTCTGCACAAAATTTAGGTTTTTAAATAAAGCAAGTGCTGCCTGAATGGCTTAAGAGTAAAATAATTACTAAATGGAAGTATTTAAAATAAAGTATTCCTTCTCAATATGCTCTCAGACAAAGTCAGTTTTTATGTACCCAG